ATGAAGATTTCATTTCATAAGAAATATTCAGAGGACCAATTTCAGGAGATCAAAATAGGATGTCTAGTGTGTTCCAAAAAACATAGTAACATATATAAATCCTTTAAAATGTTTATAGTTTAAAACTTATTTTTAAAAACACATAATACCCTCCAACCGAACATCCTTTGTAGTTCCTCATAACTGTATTCATAAGGACTTACCCTGAGCACACAGTAAATGAGCCATCCTAAGGAAGTACCTTGGGGCCTATAGGCCTACCCAAGGATCTCCTTAGGTCTGTAAGGATTTACCAGCTTGATCAGAGCTGAACCTCTACACTCCAGTATCCAGTAGAAATCAGATTTAATAGTAAACATCAATACCAAGATCGTGATCTAGTAAAATCTGGTAAGAGTGACCATGAAATAAATCACAAAACTACCCTCCACACGTACACCATATGCAGTCCCATGATTTACCCAAAAAGTTCCTTGGGGCCTGAGAGCTTACCCAAGAAAGTTTCTGGGGGTCTCGGAGCCTACCCAAGGTTCACCTTAGGTTTGTAAGGATTTACCAGCTTAATCAGAGCTGAACCTCCATATTCCAACCTACCCAGATAATGTCCCAATAAAACAGTTCAAGATATAACCAGTAGATTCCATGATCCATAAATCAGGAACAATCATATTTTTCAGTGAAAACAGGAAACCATATAACACATTTCAGGTAACCATAGTTCATAAACCAGTAGATTCCATGATTCATAAATCAGGAACAATCATATTTTTTTAGTGAAAACAGGAAACTAGATAACACATTTCAGGTAACCATAGTTCATAAACCAGTAAATCAGTGATTTCAAAAAATCACATTTTAAAATGGGTAAAACATTTACATGTCACATAAGGAACACACTAGAGGATCTAATATTATTTGGAGATACTTGGTATTTATCAGGTAGGGAACCATAAAACTTTTGTAATTTAATAAGATTTTAGAATCAAGATCCCTATAAAAGGGGGTTTGATAGCTAACTGATTCATCATTCATTCGGGAAGTGATTTATCAAGATCATATAGTATTTAGATATTTTTCGTAGGCAAATGAGTATTACGCAGACATTCAGAATATTTTACATCAAAATTATTGAAGATTTATACATAACATGAGTGTTCCCATTATTGAGCAAATCAGGGGCATTTTAGACAATTGGTTCTTGGAGAATTCTTAGTAATTTAATCTAATAAGAGTAGAGCGATGATTTGTGGTATTTAAGAATATATATTGAATTATCAAGATTTCGAGTCCAATTGAACCAACGATCCCAACACTGCGATACTTGTTAATCATTCGGACCGTGATGCTTCACTATTATTCACTTCTTATTAGTGACTGCTCCAGTTGATCTGATCAATATCAAAATCATCCTTGATCAGTTCTTGAGGAGACAAATATGCATTTCATTGTTATTTATTTTATTTTCACATTGTAATAGTATCCCAAAATGTCCGACGATTTGGGTCGTGCTCCATAACCTTTAGAGGTTGTACATCATTTAGGTTCGTCGGTGTTCCCATAGTCTATCCAGAGACATTCAATTGATCCAATTCATAAAGGTATTTAGATCATCTCGGTATTTGAGGTTATTTTACTCATTTGAGGTCCAAACTCATTAGTTATTTCAAAACTTAAGGATAATCCATCATTTAAATACTTCAATGACGTGTCGCACTTTCAGTAATATAGTCTTCAAAAAATCATTCAAAAACAATGAGATCGACATATTAAGAATTTTCAAATGTAGGAGTTTATTTTTGGGTTTTTTAAATAGAGCAAGAATTTAATCGGTGATTCCAAGGTTGAAGTGAACCAAAATATAAGTTCTAAGGTCGTCTCCATTATCATAACCATCCATAGTCCTTTTTACGCTTTGTGGGTATGTTATTTTAGTTATTTCGTAACTCGAAGACAATTTGACAATTTAGATCAATCCAAACATGTATTTTTTGGTAATTTGGTCAGATATATTTGTTTAGCATTATTTTTCGCTCTTAGAGATAATCATGGTTTTTTTGCAGTGCAAGGACATTTTGGTCAAATTACAATTCAAGGTTATTACAATCATTTCCTTCCGTCCAATCTTTCCATTTAATTCAAATTTTCTAAATTATTCAAACAAGAATAGTACTTTTGCTCTCAGGTCAGTCCAGGCTATTTTTACCCCACAGGGGCAATTTCGTAATTTTATACTCAGATGATTTCTGTATTAAACCTTTTAACGAAAATAGTTAGAATTTAATAATAATTCTGAGGTTATTTGCTCTTCAGGCTAATCACTGCACTTGAAATAATTTCTTATCAGTCTTTCGATCCCTTTATGTAATTCGATTGAGTAGTAATCAATTTATCACTTAAACCGTATTCGGTTTGATTCCATGCATAACCAAACATGCATAATAGATCAATCGTATACATCCATGCGTTTATCCATTATCAACATGTTCCATGAAACATGCAAAGAGATAGTAAAATATTACCTCGATTTTTGTACTCCACCGATCGAGCATTTAAACTCTATTCGATCACTCTCAAAAACTTGAATTCAACGTCCAATAATTCCTCGAATACATACCAATAGAATTTACATCAGAAACTGAACATAATTGAGAAACCAATTTGAACCCGAAGATAAAACACGGAAAAACGCTTACCGAGTATGAATTTGGCAAAACAGACTTCAGATTCGGACTCATGACGTCGAAAAATATAAATAGAATTTTCAAAAAATTGACTTTTTTTTAAAAGTCAACGGTCAGACCGGTTAAAGTCAATAATCAAACTGGACAAAGTCAACGGGTCGGGTCAAAGTCAACGGGTCGAGTTGGGTTGATTCGTTTGGTCAGGTTGACTTGGTTCGGTTAAACAGACCCGGTTGGTCGGTTTGGGTTGGTCTAGCCGGGAATAAACCAGAGCTGGGAAATGAGCCCCACATGCACGGGACGGCGCGTGGCGGCACGTGAGACGACGACAAGGGGCGAATCGGTCGGTCGATTACTCTGAAAGCTTCAACAAATCAAAATTTATTTCAACATTAGTCCAATTTCATCCCAAAAAATTCAAATCAACCCAACAAACGTTCTAAACCTTACCCAACCGATGATCGGCGGAGACACGGTGAGGGACAAACCCGACTGGGTTTTGGTTGGTATTCAACGAAGAGTTCGACGACAATGGTTGTGAGATCAATGGACGGACCATTTGACCTGAATCGCGAGAACAATAAATGTGAGTTTTTATTTTTCTGTCTGACCTTCGATCGACGATTCACGATGAACGGCGAGACTAATTAGCGAATGGAGGGCAAGGCTGGGACCAGAACAAGGTGACACTTCTGTTGGTGCCAGCGGTGACCCTCGACGGTGAGTGGTGGCCGAGATTTATGTTAAAATATTTCGAGCGATCTCTCCCCTATTTACTCTCAACGGCCGCGAGTTTTGGTGCTTGGTGGTCTAGGTTGGGTCGATACGATATCGATGGCAGTGCACCCCTCGACTGGCTAAACAATGGTGGTTGGCGAGGGAAAATATTGGTGAAACAAGGCACGATTTTGAACTCCCAACTGGGAAGAAAATGATGAAGGTGATTCTTTGATTCATATCTAATAAAAAATGAATATTAAAATTTTAAAGACAAGATATGGACAATTTCAGGGTTAGGTCCCTCAACTATATCAAGCTTGTAAAACAACCATCATACCTCGAAATCAAGCATTTTAGTCCTCAATTGTTTTTTTCTTGTTACGACTTTAATTCAATACTATACATTAATAAAATCTAGCCCTAAATTGGGGTGTGACAACAACTAAGATGCACTTCATCTTTATCTCCATCTTACTCCAATTATTCCTTCAATTACAAATATTATGGACACTTCTATCTCTATATCTAATAGGATCCTCCCCTCCATCTGGTCTCGATCGATTGAGTCCTGGAAGCTTTAGCTCACCTCTGTCTTCCCTTCTAATGACGCGTGCACCAATCATAGTGTTCTTCGTCGGTTGCAAGAACGACGGGAACGAACCCGAACAGATCTTCATCTCCCAATACTCGACATAGATGGAGTTGTCCTTGGCATACCTCAGCTCAATTTTACTGTTGGTGTTGGTCGCCTAGACGAAACGGTGGTGTCAGTACATTTTGATAAGGACAAATTAAATTAAATATTAATTAATAATTAATTTTAGATAAATTTTATACTTTTTAATATTTACATAACAAAACAATTTTGTTTGTGATAAGTTTCGGTATGCCATTTTAATAATATGTTACCGTATTCGACGTTGAATGTAAACTCTTCTTTATCGACACTATCACATACCCAACAATTCAAACTTAATTAATTCCATAACTATAACTGTCTATTTTCATTAATTTAGATTAAAAGATTTATGAAAGTGATCATTTTAATTTAGCCTATTAAATTAATAATATTAAAATTGGAATATGAAATATCATTTAAAGAATCCCACTTATAAATTTTAAATTCATATATTTTTATATTTTAGATTTTTATAAATTCTAGTTCTTCTTCAAAGCACCGTAATAAAATATTTATCTAAAACAAAAAGGTACAGTTATGGTGGGGAGACTAAATTCATATGCGTGTGACACATGCAACAAATACGACGGCTTCAATCCATCCTTATCTTCTTTCCTGTCTACTCCACTCGTTCTACAACAACAAGCCACTTCAATTAAGCTGATGGCTAAATTTCTTTTAGACTTTAACTTGATGTGAAATTAGATATAATATTTTTCAATTTATAATAATTAAATATTATTATTATAACAAAGAATCACTTGTCTATTAAGAATAGTCGGTAGATTTTCATAAGTTTAGTCTTAATATTTATTCAAAGTGTAGAAATAGACAGCAGTACGTCCACTGATCACTCAGTTATTAAACTATGGAAAATTGATTCTTATTAATGCCACAATTCTTTAAAGAAACTACAGATCTCTTATGGTAAATTTTGCTATCTGATTTTCATTTCCATTATTTTGTTCAGAAAAAGGGAAGAGCGATTTAAGATAAAGAGATTAAACAAACGATATATTTGACGACGTTAGTGAAATCCTCCTCTTTCTTCTTCGCCTTCTTGGTTAGTTTTCACACACTGACTCTGCATCGGGTGGCGATCTGATACTTAACGGCGTTTTCTCCGACGGAAACTCCATAGCTTCTGCTACCGAAAGTAATATAAGCCGGACACCTGACGTGAAGATGATATCTTCCGGAAACAAAGGCCCCAACTTTCCATCTCACCCGTCCATCAATCTTGATCACCATGAAAATCGAACCGGCAGATTGTTCAGTTTTCAGAGCAACTGAAAAATCCGGAGCTATAGGGACCATGTTCCCGTATATGAAAGGCGACCAGACATTGACTTCGTTATGACCCTGGTACGTCGGTGGGAGCGCTGTCCGAAGAGTGACCTGCTGGTTCCTGTAAGTTGCGTAGGTGACGAGCCTGTCGTAGTAGATCCCGATTCGGTCGTTTGGGTTCCGAGAAGAAACGGTGACTTGGAAATTGGAGGTGAGGAAATTCTGGGTGGAGGCGTTGAAACCGTAGACGGTGGTGTCTTGGAGGATGAAGCGGGGTTTGGTGGGGCGGAGGACTGCCCAGATGATCAGGATTGTGATGAGAACGATGACGAGGAAGACTAGAAGGCATCCGATTATTCTTCGGATGCGTTTATGGCGGCCTTTTCCGTGGTTGCCGCAATCCTTTGACGTCATGGTGGTCAGTAGAAAATGCTAGAGAAATGGAGACTGGTTTTAGATAGAGAGAAATTCTTAGAATGAAATGAAGGTGTTGGAGAGTTGGGTGTATTTGTATTGTATAATGTAAAATGAAATATTGAGAGCTTTTCTCTTTCAGTTGAAGTGTAATGAATCAATAATTGTGGCTAGTACTACACTGTAGTGTGTTTAACGGAGTGCTAGGAAAAATATTAATCTTTGGAGTGATTTTGAAGTGACAAATATTTAATTATATGTAAAAAAATGTTATATAGTGATTTATATTTTTATTATTAATTGATAGTAAGTTTATTTTTTATACTAAAAAATTTACGGATGAATTTCAAGGCCAAGGCATAAGACAATTGATATAAACTAACATAATTTACAGATTGCTCACTAAAAATAACGGTAGTAAAATTCAAATTTAATCTTAGAAGTTTAAATTTTTGAATCTCAATCACTTGTGCCAACACTTGTTGACTTATAATAAGTTGTTGATAGTATATTATCTAATTAGTTAAAATTTATTTATTTTTTAATTTTTAAAATATAAAATATTTTAAATTATAAATAATTTAAAAATATTTTTAAAACATAAAAAATAAAAAAGTATATATATAATCAATAACATGAGAAAATATGAAAGAATATGAAAATAGTCTTAAAAAAATCTTTTAATTTTTTTGACTAATTATAAATTTAATCTTAATTTTACCAAGAGGAGAGAGAAAATTAAACTTTATGAGAAGAAAATGAGTACTTTTAGTGAGTCTATGACCAATAACATAAGAAAATATGAAAGAATAAAGATGAGAAGTTTAATCAATAACCAAATTATAAAAAATTATAAAATAAAAGTATGATTATCTTTGTTACAATTTTAATTATCTACATTTTTATATATTAATCAATATTCAATTCATTGATATATTAATCTAAATTGAATATTTTAAATACACATTATAAGATAATCCACCAAGATTCAAACCTAAACATTATTCAAAGAATCTAACGCTTCATCCTGTTTGGGCCTGGTATCCAGTTCGCTAAATTTTTTGGGTTTTATGGTCAGATTCGGGTCACAAAATGATGTTTAACGGGATACCCGCCAACCCGATACCCAATTTATTATATATATATTTTTAATTTTATTTTATATTAAATTTTTATTTATAATTTTTGAATTATTTCAATTTAACATTCTAAATTCTTAATTAATTAAAATTTACTACCATAACATTCTAAATTTTTAATTTCTTAAATTATTTCACATTAATATTCTAAATTATTATTTAAAATATTTATTTTAACTTCGAAACACTTGAAATTTAATTATATTTTTATTTTGTTATTTAATAAATTTCTTTTGATTATGTAATTTGAATTTTTAAACTTTATGTGTGAGTTATATATTATATAACTTTAAATTTTAGAATTTTAAATTATATATATATATATATATATATATATATAATGTAATTTAAAGGAAAAAATAAAAAAATTATAAATTGGATACCCATGACTCAAAAATGTGTACTCAAATTTTACAAGTATTCGATTTATAGGTACCCGAGTGTAATAAACTGAGACACTAACCAACATTTTGATATCCAAAAATTTCAGATACCCAACATTTCAAGTACCCAAAAAAACGATACCTTATTTTAAACACCCCTAAATCAAAAGATAGTAGTACAGTAAAATAATAGCATGTGCTTTAATCACCGTTGGATGATTTGGATTCATATTTTGACCGGGAAGCTTCCAGCTGTCCCCACCCACCTTTTAATTATCTTTATTTTTACAAACTTAAATAATAAATTCAATACACATTCTCTTTTTTTAAAGCATAATACATAATACATATTATATATATATATATATATTAAATGTAAACATAATTTTTTCAACTTAATATTTAAAGAATTTTTATTTTTAAAATAATACTCAACTTTAATTTTATCTAATATTTTAATATTTTCTTAACAATATTATTTTTAAAAAATTTAATAATATAAAATTATATCGATGTTAAATTATTAAAAAATAAAAAAATGTTAAAATTTAATTAATTAATATTATCAATTTCTCTAGAGAAATTTCATTCTCATTTTAAAATTTTGATATAAATTTTAATATTATTCCCTCGAGAATAATTTTCCCCTGATTCAAAAGTCCCCTTAGAATAAAAAGAGGTTACGATCATATAATTGAACGTGACATAAAAAACAATACCTCAAGTGTCATCCGGTGTAGGAAAAAATAATTAGCGTTGAAATAGACGTTAAAAAGTTCTAAAAGTGAAAGGGGATGATTCTGTGATCATATAATTGAACGGGGCATGAAAAGTAATACCTTGGGTGTAACTCTTAGATCCGATCTAAAAATACGTCAAATTTAGACGGTCACATAACATATTCAAATATCATTTTCATATTCAAAACGTACTTGAAATCTATTTGGTAAATACAATACGGTTAATGGTAAAATACAAAATACATAACGGTAAATATATACATATCACCAGAGGTGCAATATCATTAACTCGTATATGTGTATTATTATGAGTTAAAGATGTCACATCAATTATTTAAAATATTTTTGACCCAAAATGGTAAAATTTTGTTTCCTTCACAAGTTCCAAATTTTAACATTTGTTATAAATAATCAATAGAGAAAATAAATTTATAATATCTCAACTTTTAATTCAAATCCAATTTTAAGCAGTAACATGTAATTATGCTTTGATTGATATTTTTATTTCACGCTTAATCCCAAAACCAAAGGAATTTACTTGAAAATGAAAAAATAAAATTTCCTCTTACCTTGTATGAAGCTCACGTCCAAAGAGGGGAAAGTTGAACAAGTCTCATGAAATTTCTAGTTAATTTTATGTTAATTTGTCATTTGTTAAGCTTAATTGAATTTAATTGGGAAATGAAAATTTCACCCTTAATGAAACTTGATAATTACATTCATACCAAGCCACATATTATTTATCATATTTCAAAAGTCAAATATGAACAATTTATTTTACCATTTACAACTTTACCCATGCACTTTGCTAAAAATTTTAATCTTGTCATTTCATCCAATGTCAAATTGAACAAGAAAATAAATTCTCAAATCCAATGTTCCATATTATTTTCCATCATTTTAAAACGTGAAAATGATATTTCTAAGCTTAATTTAATATCCCTCAAATTTCTCAAATTTTTATTCTATCTGATTTATCAAATTTTTATCGGACTTTAACACTTTATAGTTTTTAACACAAATTTCGAATCAAAAATCTGATTCCCACCAAAACGTCATTCTTGGGGTGAACTATTCATTTATGGTTTCAAAACACCTAACTTTTTAAAATTAACCTTTGATCCCTAAACTTTTGCAAACTTTATAGTTTAACCACTAAACTTTCAAAATTTATGTTTTTGTCACTAACAAAAATTTTAGGGCATTACAATTTCCCCCTTAAGAAAATTCATCTTCAAATTTTCAATACACACATGATGTAAATGGATGAAAACACTGCTTTTTCATATCTTATCCTCTTTTCTTTTCCAAATCTGAAAATGTCTTCTGTAAATCGATAATTATCTTGAGCTTATCTTAATAATCTTTATTTGTTAAAATTCCATTGCAACTTGTCCCTATTACCACTAAGGGTTGGAAATCGGATACAACAATTCAGAGGGCACTTATGTTGTACTTTAACTTGTTGACATATTAGGCATTTTGAAACAAACTCAGTGATAGCTTTTTTTCATGTCTGCCACTTATATCTACTCTTTCATTGCTAATACCAGCATCCATCAGACTTAACTTTAAGTTATTTGGTATAAAATTTTTCCACTTGTTTATATTTGGCAAGCACAATAATTTTCATATTTTCCTTGAAAATCCTTTACTCGATCTAGCAACATAGGCTTTAACTTTAATTCTATGGTCAAAGCACCATCTTTCTTTAAAAAATAAATAAATAAAGTATTCAAAACTCTTAGAATAGAAGTGTCTTTCAGTTTTATTGTATAATCCACCACATTTTCCTTTATTGATTGTATTCGATAAGTACATCATCATTATTTAAGGAATTCAATTCATTTCCGTATAGATATTGCATCACTCACAATGTAGATAGTGACATTATATCAATTAAGTAAACATAATTATTGCTAGCTTGATATCATGAATCAGATAATTTCTTTCATGATTCTTTAGTTGCTTTGAAGCATAAGCCCTAAATTTTTCCTTGCACTAGCATGCATCACAAGCCATTATGAAACACATCACTATAATTCACACAATCTTTTTCGTATTAGATTACATTGACCTTGGAACTTATGTCAGTATTATTTTTAACATCTCGAAGTTTTATTGGAACTTATTATTCCAAATGAATAGCAAGTATTTTCTCAATAACTTGGTTAGAGGGAAAACAATCATATAAAAGTTCTTCATGAACCTTGGATAGTAACTAGCAAGTCTCGAGAAACTTCAAAATTCGAAAACAATTTTTTGGACTTTATCATTCAACCATGGCTTGCTTTCTTGAGGTCCATTCTCTTCCCCTCAACTAAGACCACACAGCCAAGGAATACAACCTTAGACAACCAACATTTACACTTTGTCAACTTAGCATACAATTTTCCTCCTGCAGAGTTAGGAGAGCTATACAAAGATATGCATCGTGTTCTTCCTTGGTCTTTTACAATATATCAATCTATCATTAATGAACACTACCACCCATTAATCCAAATATAACTTAAATACTTAGTTTATCAATTCCATAAATGTTGCAGGAACATTTGTTAAACCAAACAACATTACCACAAAATCGTAGTGTCCATACTGAATTCTAAAACTATCTTGGGAAGATCATCTTCCTTATCTTTAACTAATAATATCCAGATAAGAGAACAATCTTCTAGAACATCAATTAGTTTTTAACGAGTCAAAAGATCATCAACCCTCGGAATAGGATACTTATTCTTCACTGTTATCTTATTTTGACTGACGATAATCCATGCGTAATTGCATAGATTCATTTTCTTTTTCAAAAATAACACTGTACGTCCCAGATTACACATTTGG